TTCAGGGTGGGAGTGACTCCGATCCTGGGATTCGGGGCGGGAGTGACTCCGACCCTGGGATTCGGGGCGGGAGTGACTCCGACCCTGGGATTCGGGGCGGGAGTGACTCCGACCCTGGGATCTGGGCGGGAGTGACTCCGATCCTGGGATTCGGGGCGGGAGTGACTCCGATCCTGGGATTCGGGGCGGGAGTGACTCTGATCCTGGGATTCGGGGCAGGAGTGACTCCGATCCTGGGATTCAGGGCGGGAGTGACTCCAACCCTGGGATTCGGGGCGGGAGTGGCTCCGCCGCCGGGGTCACTCACTCGTCAGTCCTGTAGAGCGCGAGGGCGTGGCCGGTGAAGTCGATGACGTCCTGGCCCAGGTCGAACTTCTTGTACACGTCCCTCATGGTGGTTTTCTTGGGGTCGACGCCCTCGAAGGTCTTGGGGTCGTTCTCGTCGAAGTTGGCCACGTACACCAGGAACTTCCGGAACCGGCGCTTCTCAAACAGCCCCATTAAGCCTGAAAACGAGGGATTTGCTCAGAACTCTTGGAGAGACCACGGGGCTTTTCCATGGCCACACGGGGGGGAAGAACCGCTGAGGGTTTCACACACGGAATCATGGAATGGTTTGGGTTGAAGGGACCTTAAAGACCATCCAGTTCCAACCCCAGGGACACCTCCCACTATTCCAGGTTGCTCCAACCCGGCCTTGGACACTTCCAGGGATCCAGGGGCAGCCACAGCTTCTCTGGGAAATCCATTCCAGTCCTTCCCCACCCTCCCAGCCAGGATATTCCTTCCCAATATCCCATCTAACTCTCCTTGAGCTTAAGCCCATCCCCCTTGTCCCATCACTTCCAACCTCAAACACGACACTGGACAGGGCAATTTATAATTTTTCCACAAACTGGGAGGCAAGACTGGACTCGCTGAAGCAGGAGGGCAGAGGCAGCACCCCCTGCTCCTGCCAGGATGAGTCTCCTGGGAGACCAAACAGGAACATCTGCCATGGACAAGGCTCAGACCTCCAGACCCGGAGCCTTGACTGCAGCAGTCACTTTACCACGAGGCTTTTTAGAGGTGCCACTGAACACATCCCACACCTGGAGCTCCTGGAATGCCCTCCACCAGCTCTTAAAGGATTTCCTGAGCCACTGCGAACGAGCAGCGGTTTTATTGGAAGAGGGGTGAAATTTAAGCAGGCAGCAATTAAGGTTTGAGTTGTAATTAGTGGCTCTAATTTGCCTGGGACGTTCTTCCACACGCACAGGTCCAACAAGGATCCAACGTTAAGTCTTCATGGCAGAGCTGGGAGCACAAACCCCAGAGGTAAAAAACCTCTTATTCCACCAGATTCTCACCAGAGGGGCCACCAGAACAGGCAGCTCCGTTGGGAAGCTCCAAGAAAAACTGTCACTCAAGGCTCAGGAAGCCCAAGGCTACAACTCCCAAGTGGTGTTTAAAGTCAAAGAGGTGCAGGAGAACCCTGAGGATGCTCCTTAAAACATGAGGAGCACCAAGAACATCCCGAGATGTGGGGTTTGCCTCTGTTTAGGGACAGGAGCCCCAGGAGGACACGAAGAAGGTGCAGCTACTCACTGGATGCCAGAGCTTCTGCCTCGGTGGAGGGGACTTTGTAGATCTTCCCCCCCTTGTAGACGAAGCTGCCCTCGATCACCTTGAAGTCCAAGTAACGAGTCACTTCTGTGTAGAGCAGCATCTTCACCAACTGACCTGCAGGAGGGTTTGGCACAGGTCAGACAGCTGGGCTGGAGCCAGAGCTGCTCCCAGGGCAGCCCTTCCAAACCCTTCCACGTTCAGCTCCCGCCGCACACCAGAGGGGAGCTGGGACTAGAGCGACCAGGCCTTGCCTGGGGTCTCTCTAACCCTGAGCCTGAGACTGGCACCACACAAGACATCCATGCCCTGGTGCATCAGGGATGAGATTCCAGCAAAAAGGGGTTGGGTTTTGGCAAAGGGACACCTGGGAGCCCAGGATCACTCACCGTTAGCCATCAGGAATTTCGGAATGAGGTCCACGTTCCAGTCTCTTCCCCGCCCCATGGATTCTGGTGGAGTCCCCGGGAGATTAAACCTTTTGTAGAGCTTTGGAGAGAGAGAGAGAGAACACAGAACTTATTGTAGCTCCCTGGGTGTCACTTCTCCCACACATGGACACACTTTCCACCCCCACGGCTCTCGGTCGAACACAAGCCCTTCAGAGCCGGTTTTTGGCCGGAGTTTCAGCTCCAGTTTGACTTCTGATGCAGCACACAAACACACCCAGGAAGTTGGGACAGTGAGAACCAGGCAGAGTTATTCTGCTCTTCCAGTCTTTCTTCCTCCAAGGCTTAAAGTTTGGGAATTTAAAACCTGAGGAAGCGAAATACTGTGTAATGTGAGGTATCTTAGTCAATATTTACAGTTTAGCTGGGGTTTTAACACCCAGCTGTTGGGCATTACAGCTCTGGAGTGCTCCACACTGGAATTCCAGCTGGGAATTACAGAAAACCAGCGCTGTCTACAACCACAAACACACACACTGGTGGTCTCCCCTACTATTAACACCATAAAACATCCTCACTCCAAGGAAACCCCGAAGAGTTAATTACATGGGAATCCACCCCTGGGATAACTGGGAATAAAGCCCCTTTTCCAGCAGCGGGTGCCAGCTCCACACTTACATCTTCCAGGGGTGTAATGGATGCACTTTCCCCTCCATAGTAGGAGTTACGATCCATGTGAAGGACCTTCTTCCCGTTCACGGACATGATCCCGGAGAGGATGCATTCCTGCAGAAAGGAAGGGATGCAAGGGACGTGTTAGTGCACTGGAGCCACCTCCTTCCCAGTTTTCCTAAGGAAGAGCACGTTCAGGCAGCTGGCTGCGTGCAGGCACCGGAAATATCCCGGGGAAACAAACGCTCTGGAATTCAGACACCTCTTGGAAGCAGATCAGCCCCTCGCCGGGTCTGTGTGCCCTGGGCGAGCCGACCAAGGGGTTAAAACTACACAGCCACCACCTCCACTGAGGAAATTCCTGGGAATTTCATGCATTTAGGGCAGATTTGGAAAACCTCTCCTCCTAAGCCACCACCTGTCAACTTAAGGACGAGGCAGCAGGAGCATGGAATCTTGCTTGGACTTCTCCTCAAAACCTCAACCATTAATATTTGCCACGCTGGGACACGTGGGAGAACCAACAGCTCCTCTTTATCTATTTATAAAGAATAAATGAAGGCATTTGGCAGGTTTATCACCTCAGCAGAGGCCTTGCTATCCTTGCTCTGCATCCAGAGATTCCTTGGAGCAGCTGATCAGCTGCTGGGTCTGAGACTCAGCACAGAGCACACACACACAAGCTGCGACCTGCAGAACCAGCTGAGGCCTCGCTAAATCCCCACCAAACACGGCTCTGGCATTCACAGCCAAAGAGCTTAAGGAAAACTTGAATGTCTGCGTGCTTAGGACAGCTTAGCAGGGAGGTTTTACTGATCTTGCTCTGTCTCAGCTCCCCCCAGGAGCAGAACTATGTGTGCAGCTGAGCTCTTGCTCACCATCAGCAAGGCCTAACTGGGAGGTCCCGGTCACATCTCACATCAGGGGTGGGTCAACCTGGGCTACCGGAATGTTCCCTGCCTGGAAGGGGTGGGACTGGATGGGCTTCAAGGTCCCTTCCAACCCCAACCATTCCATGATTCTGCATTCACCATTCAGCCTGTAAACCCCCCCATCCATCTGCTGGGAGATGCCACCACTCCCAGGAGTGGGGAAGATGTTCACTCACAGCTTGGCCCTCCTGGCAGAGATCCGTGTCTCCCTGAGATCCTTCACGTTCCCTCCACGAGCACCTTTCCCAGGACTCTCCTCCTGTGTCACTCCCCCCCAGCTGGGTTTCAGGAGCTCTATTTCCACCACAGCAACCCTGGCCAAGGCAGGTGTCGCTCGGTCACACGAGGCAGACCACAAACACCAGAAGTCTCCCGCTGCGTCTTGTTTACACGCTGCGTAAATCCCGACTCCAGGCAACCCTCGGTGTAAAGGAAGCTGTAAAGTCATCTACAACTTCCCCAACCCCTCCCAAGGCAGCTTTGAGGGGGGGTTATTTGGTTCTGAAGGTGTGGGGGCGGTTGGCAGGGATTGCTGGCACGAGGGTTTGCTGTCCTGGCGCTTCCAGGTGGCCACGGGCAAACCTTCTCCGCTGGGACAGCAAGGCACTGCTGGCCAGTCTGTCACCCACCAGGGTGCCACCCTCATCCAGCCAAGGAGCTGAGGACAAAGCTGGAGCTGCCCAGTGCACGGCAAGGACGCTCCACAGTGAATCCCTGGATGGCAAACACGGTGCCCACATGGCTCTGGGTCGAGAAGAGCTGGCCACAGCACTTCCCACAGAACCTCCTCCCAGCACCTTCCACACAAGTCCTACAAGGCTCCTCCCGTTTTCCCACGCAGGCTGGAGCAAGCAGAGAGCCCCAGCCCCTCTGCTAAGACACCCCTCAAGGCCTCCAAGGGCGAGGAACCGCCGGAGCGAGGGTGGCTGCGGGGTGTCAGCTCTGCTGTCACTGGTTAGCCACGTGTGACGTGGGGCTGTCACACCTCTGCCAGCTCCTCCCAGCCCTGGCCTCGGGCTCCCTGCTCCACCCTGGAACGTCTCACCAGCTCTGCCAGATGGTGGCACAGGGCTCCGAGTGTCCGCGCTGGAAGCCAACCAGGATTTCACACCAAATGAGTCTCAAAGGCAGGAATTAAACCACAGCAGAAGTTCCAGTCGCTGCTCTGGCTGTCAGCTGATTTCCTGCCTCCATTTAACTTCAAAGCAGCCCTCGCTCCATCTTCCCAGGGATGCACACAGCGAGCCTGTATCCCTTCCCCAGGTTGGATTTGGCTACCAGCAGGAGATATAAGAGCCCTTAAGTACCTCCTCCATCTTCTTTCCTACCCATTAAACACCCCTACAGGCACTGAGGTGGAGATATCCCGCTCCTATTTCATCCAAGGCTCGTTAAACACGTCCCTTCCATCACCCAGCTCCTGCCAGGCCCCGGAGCGCTGGAATCCCACCCGGGCCTCTCACGAGCCATAAAACACACGGGGTGCACAATGGATTCATCCTCCCAGCTCAGCAGTTCCTTTGGAGCTCTCCCCGGCCACTGGAACCGCTGGATCTGTGTCCTGGTGTGGTTTGGGTGAGGAAAACAAACAGCCTGGGCTGATATGGGAAGGGCTGGGAAGGGTTTCAAGTAAAAAAGGGGAAGCGTTCAAATCTGGAGGGTTTTGGCTGAGTATAAATATCAGCGTCAAGCAAACAGGAAGGCAGAGCAGCTGCTGGGAGCAGCACCAGGGCAGGGCAGGGAGAGCTCCGGGTATCCAGAGGGATGGATGGAATATGGTCTCCACGCAAAGGGCAGCCCTGCTGGAACTGTAATCCAGAGCTCCACCAGGTCAGGTTCCGACAGCTCCCGGGAGCTCGCTGCGCCCCAGCCAATGGCAGAGCAAGTCCTGGCGTCTGCAGCACCACCCTGGCTGCTGAGATGGCTGGAGAGCACAGCACCAGGGAGAAAGGGGCACCGGGAATGTGGAGACGGCACAAATCCATGGGAAAAAACAACAGGAGCGACTCGAAGGTGTCGGTGCTTCCAGGCTTGTTTAAGAGCATCGGCTCTTCCCTCGTGAGCAGGGACCGGTTGTGAATAGACCTTCTGCAGGCAGGAGCCTTGAGGAATGGAGGGAGGCGAGGAGCTTTCCATGGATTTCCTCCAAGTAGGGCGGCAGTTCAGAGAGGCTCAGACAGACCGACGGAAACCCGAGCCAGCGCTGCTCCGGCTGAGGGCGGGACGGGCACGGTCCCTCCGGCTCCCACAACGGGCTCTGGCACCACCGGGGCTCTTTCTTCGAAAGGCAGGGCTGGGCTGGGGCCAGCACGTCACAGAATTTGGGGTTGGGAGGGACCTCTGGAGATCCTCTGGTCCAGGTGACACGGGAACTCGTCCAGTGGGTGCCCACCCATCACACGCTGGATACACCCGCCGTGTCAGATTCCAGCACGATCCAGAGCTCTGCTCCTCCTACGACTGCCAAACAACCCCTCACTGCACCTGGACAAACCCCACAGCTCATCCTACAAACTGCCAGACAACCCCTCACTGCACCTGGACAAACCCCATAGCTCATCCTACAAACTGCCAGACAACCCCTCACTGCACCTGGACAAACCCCATAGCTCATCCTACAAACCCCTCACTGCACCTGGACAAACCCCATAGCTCATCCTACAAACCCCTCACTGCACCTGGACAAACCCCATAGCTCATCCTACAAA